GAGCAGACCCCGCCGGCCTCCCCAGCCGGAGACCCCCGGGCGTACGGGGAGTTTTCGGGTGCGGAGGGAGGACTGGGAGAGGGCGGTGGCTGCGCCAGGAGGGCAGGGGTCCCTTCCCCACGCTGCGGCATGGGGCAGACACGCGTGCACTTCTGGAAGACCGCAGCCGAGCAGGACACGAAGCAAACCCTATCGACTGCTCACACCAAAGCAGGGGCAAAGCTAAAGGCATGGTGTTGATGGGCTTCTTGGGTATATAGGAAGAGGCAAAACCCCCTCCACGCCCCAAAGTTTGCAGGCACAACTGACAAGGGTACTAGCCACAAAATCCAGGTGAATCCCTATCACTGTCAATGATGACAGCCAGCAATCTCTCCTCCACCTTAGTTTTTATTAGGGGGTCTCACGGCTATCGAGTCCAATTTCCACAAGGAACGTTTGCCCACATGCAGAACAGGCATTGGCTTGACCTGCAGGTTGTTCTTCCCTAAGTTTCCTCTGGGTTCTTCTTTTCCTTTGCTACGTTGGCACATGCCAAATGTGATTAGATTGCCAGAAATCATCTTCCACTGCTTTGTTTCTTTTCTTCTATCACAAGCACACGTGCCGATGGGAATTCACGATGTGTTTTAGTCTTGCGGCAATCCTTAGACCTCTCTCGAGCTTGCCACCATGAGACCAGCCCCAAGCTTCACTTGGGAGGCTGCTCCGTGGAGCAGTTGGCCTGGTTTCAGGAGTTAGGGCCAGAGCTCCAGCCACCCTGCCTGCACTGCAGGATCCCTGCCTCCGTGCCCGACACATTGTTCTTTTCTAGGATGTGCACCTGCAGCAAATTTCCCCCGTCATTCTGAGGCAGCATAGCTGAGAGGCCAAAATTCCCTAACGTATCATGAGAAACTGTGAGAAACTCTTCTAGGGAGAGGCTGAACATTTCAACCAGAGGTAGCAGAGCTAGGAGCTGATCAGAGACCTCGCCAGTCCCAGGTGGCCACAGCCATCCTCACACTTCTGTCCATTTCCACAGGGGGATGATCTTCACACGATATCCAGCCCTTACCTAACACCTTTCTTCTGCTCAGCTCAAAGTTCTCCATAACGGGACCATCTTTTATTATGTAGGTTCTCTGGACCTGGTCCCCAGAAGAGCAGTAGCACCCATAGTCTTCAGCTAAATCTGCAGGTATAGACATACACGTAGTCTGTTCAGCACCTCTAAAAATTATCTTCTAGAGGAAGATTCACAGAGTCCAGCACCTACATCACCACATCGCTCTTCCCTCTGTAGTGGGTCTGTTCCTCCACCAGAGGGAACTTCCACCTCGCACTGTGACCTGTAACAAGCTGTTACCTCCTCACCCACCTCCCTGGGTTACAGCAGCGTTTCTGCTACAAACGCCGGTATTTTCTGGTTACAGACAGGCTGTGAACCACAGCTGGAGGTACAAGGCCACCTCCAAACATTCCTGCCTCGGGGACTGCAAGGGCCTACAGTGGCAGCATCGCTACCGCCAGCATTTTGACTGCTATACAAGCACCACAAAGACAGGACTGGGTGGTCTGTTGCAATAAGCAAGTGTAAATTGGCCATCTTCTCCAGACGAGATTGCTCTCTGGAAGAACTGCCTTCTCTCCAAAAGAAGCCATTAGGCCATCTAGCCCAAACTCTAAGGCAGTGAATCATCCTGTGGCTGTCTTGCTTGTGTACCATAGCCAAAGAAGTACTTAGAAATCTGTCATCAAAGATTTTTCATGTATCAGGATTATTTAGTGTGAGATTTTAGACTGCACGTTGGCAGACACTCCACAACATTATTACAGTTAATGATGTGATATTATCAAGTATAAAGCACAGATCTCTCTGCATGAATATTTGTGTAATCACCACAGTACACAGAACTTGCCACTTAGTACTTGCTGCATATTTCAAGCATAGAAAAACGGACCAACAGGAGAAGATACCGGATTATAGAGAGAGATAACACAGAGGACAACATCCAAAGCTGCAGCAAAACATTTTAGTGCTCAAAGCATAACTCAGCCTCAGGCCCTCTTGGCTGCATCCAGCCTCTTCCAGCTCACCATGTTGCCTGCAACTCCTGCTAGTTGCCATCACCTGCAGCTCTCTTTTCTGGGCAGCAACCGTCAGAAAGGCTTGAAGATCTTTTCTTCTGCTTGGCAGCTCTCTGTGACAGGGGTAAGCAGGACATGGGCCCCTCTTGTGCTGCTGCTTTGTACACAACTGACACAATCACCACCTGATGACTGTTTGCTGATCTTAAGCCTCAAATGTACGCAGATAGTTAACATGGTAGGTCTGGTGATGGAAAACCTAATGAGTCTGTCAATGGGAATGGAGGGAGCTTTACTTAAATAGCTATTTGGTAAACAGTGGGTGAAGGGGAGACATTCAGCTCTACTGAGTCATCAGTAGAAGGGTGACAATGCCCCCTACCTACTCTTCATGGGCTGTGTCTTGGGATAACAGTCATACAGTCCTGTGACTGTAAGCTCGGCATATGACATCCCAAGCATCCTGGAAAGAGGCTTTGCTTGAAGAAAGCCTTTCCTTTGCTATTAAACTGCCTGACCCAATCTACAAAGAAATAAGAGAGACACAAGAAGAGTTAAAGCTGTAGGGACAGATATGAATTAATTTACACAGCCAGCTCAGCAGAGAGGCCACCTGATGCTAGTGGAACATTTTGGAACAGCTTTAGCAGTGGAAGAAGGTCAGGCAGTGAAAAATCCTATGCGGACTGCACCATTAGATGGTTTGATCTCTGTTCCCCAAATAACAAAATAAACCAGCTTTGTTAATGAGGGCAGAGCCACCACCCTTGCCCTAAATACTATGCAGCCTTCTCCTAGCAACTACTTTTCTTGAGCAGTTCACAGCCATGGAAAAGTCAGACCCCCCCAACAGCTCTATCATAATCGGACTCATTCCTCTTTGGCCCCAGGGAGAGGGAATGTCAGCCTCACAGTTGAACAACAACTGCCAAGCCAAGACTTCTTAGAACAAGAAGAGTGACTGACATATATGCACAGGGCACTCTGTTACCAAATCTAGAAAAGGTCAGGAAGTAGCAAGTGCAGAGAGGGGGGCAACTCTTATCGAGAAGGCATGTCCTCCAACGGATTGAACCTACGTGAGAAGCATTTCAGAACAGCTTGAGAAGAACAGACAGCCTAGCTAGGAAATGTCCACAGGAATAGAGAAAAATATCAGACAGGAAACCTGTGGCGATGTTTAGGTGCTGAAGTTCATGTGGAGAAAACAAAATAACAAAATGAATATAAAAATAAATAAAATACACATGCCATAGCAACAGTGCACACATCTATTCTACAGTATTGTTACAGTACCTAAAAAGTATCAGGAGAAGAAAGATAGTTTGATCAGGAAATAGATATTCTGCATCCCATCAAGGAATATACACACACACACACACATACATAGATACATATGCTCCGCCTCTTGGAAGAGAAATGTTCGGTCTTCCACCCACTGGAAGAGAATGGGTGACCTCTTGCATTTATCTCCTGACTTCTACTTGGGAAGCAAAAGAAAAAAAACAAATGAACAATAACCTAAAAAGACAATGTGGACATTTAGAGCAAAAATCCAAGAAGAATGCAGCTCCTAAATACAGTAATGAAAAATGCCCATTTCTAAAACTACAGCTTTACTAACAGATACAGACTAGATACGAAAAGGTTAATCCTACTCTATGGGGAGTATTGTTAAAGCATGTGGAGACAGTCAGCATTTCCTGGCTGCCATTTCCATCTTTATTATTGAATTACTTGCTTCAGAGCTATGGCCATTAGCAAAGAGAGATTAAGAAATGCCTATTTTGACTCAGAAGTGGTGTGGTCTGGCATTTGAGCTGGGAACTGTGGCTGCTGAGAAGCACTCTTCATTCTCAATGACTCACTACAAGAGCTTGGGGAAAACATGGAGATCAGCATGCTTGAATGTATTACTTGGCTTTGGGTAACCAAAATGGGATAGCTTGGTACCAAATACTCTAACAGGAAACTCTACAACACGAAGATCGGTCAGTGGTACTCAACATCTCCAAATATTAAGCTCTGAATACCTAAAGTTGTGCATCAAAAGTGTCTTCTGAGAAGTCTGTTCTTTGCTTCCCACATCCCCTGCTGTAACTTAGATGTTACAAGATGCCTCTGCCTTAGAACAAATCCATGTGTCTTAGATTAATTCATTAGTGGCTGCGAGGCATCTGCAGACCCTCCAGCTCCATGAGAAATTATCTCAATTGAGTGTGTTTTCCATTCTACTATTTCAGAATGAAGAAAATGCTTGGATTACAGCATTTTATAAATTGATGAAAAAAGGACTGTATCTTAGACTGGAACTTACTTTTTCAGCCTTAAATGCCAATAAAGACATTAATAAATTACCACTATTATTACAGCACTTCTGACACTCAGATTAGTCTTCTTGTCCCTGGTTACCTGCTACTATCTTTCCACCTCAGCATAGTCATGGACAACCATCAGGTCTATTCCATGTCTCCAAATGATCTGCCTGTCACTGTTTATGTCCTAAACACCCTGCTACAGACAGCTTACAACAGAAATGTAGAAAGAAAGGAAACAGTTCAATAAAAAAATTGTGTATGAGCAAAAAAAATGGTGATCAGAAAACAGATTGTTGGAAGAGAGATCTTCTGAATCAAATTGTATAGTCTCCTGCTACAGCAGGTAAGAAGAGACACTGCCTCCTCTTAGGGACATGACATACAACTCCCTTATTTTTATGAAGGACTCGTCCCCCTGTTCCTGCCAGAC